CTCAAGGGGACGCCTTTGGGATATAATTACATATATAGAACCTAGGGACCCTTTTATCTGAAAAGATAAAAGTTATACTTTACTGATTTTTGACTGTAAGTCAGCGAGTAGGCTGTGTGTTGAGCTATAAATAACCTATTAATTAGGAAACTCAGATCGCACGCTTGCAGCACCATATATTGGTCTTTTTCAATCAAGTGGAAGTGGAAAGTCATGTTTACTACTTCACACTGGTGAAAGATTATACATGATATACACATGTCTTCATCAAGGAGGAACAGGATGCCCACTAACAACACCATTTGTTTTAATTTTGTTACAGAGCTGTGATATTGATAAATTTATTGACTTTTTTTGCGTGTGTTTAGATGAACTTTCCAAGTTTAATGGTACTTGCAAAGATTGGTTATTGCATTGCAGCAAAGATGAATTTTGGAACACAATTAAAAACTGGAAAGATATTAACAATGTACTGGAATTTAAACCAGAAGCTTCTGGCTGGTTAGAACTTGAATCAAATGCCATACATAAATTTGCATATTATTGGAATAAAGTTTTGCATAATTCAAATTTATCATTTCAGCCAAATCTTAAGCTTAAACTTGTATTTTCTTTTGATGAAGCATGCTCTTTACTTGTTAAATCTGGACAAGACATGCCCTTTTTACTTTTAAGAAGAGTTTTACAATGTTTACCAAATGGGATATTTGTTGTATTCACAGATACATTATCAGAACTTTCAAACTTTTCTCCTGCCATTGTAGATGATCATTCTCAACGTGTTCATCATGAAGATTTGAAGCTATTTGATCCATTTTACTTGTTTGACTTCATTGATGTTTTTAATCAACATACTAGTGAAGAAATTGATGAAACAACTAATTATACAAAACTTTTCTTTTTTGGAAGACCATTATGGGGAGCATATTTAAAAAGTAAAATGGATGTCAAAGATTTAATTATGATTGCACAGCAAAAATTGCTTGGTGGGAATAAAATTGAAACTTGGCAAAACAGAATATATCCTACAGCTGATTTGGCAGTGCTTTCTTCACGGTTATCTTTATCAATTTCACCACAATCTAAGATTGCATCTGAGTTGGTGGCAGGACATATGGCTCTTTGTTCATATGTTTCTCCTGATAGACAGAGATTGTATATTGGGTATTCATCAGAACCAATTCTTGCAGAAGCTTCAGCAATACTAATGTCAGATATAAAAAATTACAGCCATTTGCTTAAGACTTTATGTAATTCTGTTGAAGATGGAATAGTTGATGCTGGTTTTCGTGGAGAGCTTGTTGCAAAACTTTTGCTGCTTAGGGCATGGGACAAATGTTGCAATTTACAGATAGAACCAATGACAAAGTATGCAATTCCAATAACTGTTAAAGATTTTTTGCTCTCATTACTTGGAGAAAAAAATTATCAAATGGCATTTTCTGACCTAGATGAGAATTTGGCATCTGGTATATTATTCTTTAATCATTTTTATGGGCTGGAATACACACCAGACAAAACAGTATTGCTCAAAATGTTCAGACGTTGTGCTGCTATTGTTGGAATGCCAGGTCAATATGGATGGGATTTGATGATACCAGTTATATTGAAAAACTCAGTTAAACCAGAAAACATTTCTGTTATTAACATTCAAATAAAAAACCAGAAAAGACAAAAGGATTCAGAATGGCCTGCTTCAGCAACAACAAAAATGAAGTGGCCAGAGATTGTGGAGAGTGAAAAAGACATTGATTATGTTAGTGATATATGCACTCCTTATATATCTCTCTAATTCCAACTTGGAGCACCTAAATCAGAGATCATCAAACATTATAGTACATATTCATCCACTCGATCTTCACGTAATAATCAATATTCTGTGTTGCTATTTGGATTTACAAAGGATACATTTGATTGTCTCAAAGACCTTGAGAAAAATACCATAAGCTGGTTACAGGAATTGTTGATACATCGTACAAATCTGATGTCTTTTAAACAAACAGAAGAGCAAAAAGAGTTAGTCAGGCATATCTATCCTGGTAAATTCAAAAAATAAGTGTTAACCAAAATAATGCAAATATTTGTTGTTATTTATTGTGAATTTATTACAAACTTCTATTAATGTAAAGAAATTGACTAATATCTGTGATGTATTAAACAAAACTCCAATATTAAACACATATACTTTACAATAAATAACAAATAAACAAAATCAGATAATTTTATAGTAATTACAGTGTGTTTCAAAAAAATGGCAGTCACAAAAATATCACATATCTCAACAATTACACAACATAGTTGAATGAAATTGGATTTATTTGAAAGATTTATCATTTGCTTTATTAAATAATAAAAAATAAACATGAAATGCTAATTCATAGATTTTTTTTTAGAACTTTGCTAAATTTTTGTCCCTGAAATTTTAACATGGAATTTTTTAATGATAGCTCTGACACAAACATATACATAATAATTATATAAAAAAACATACCAGTCTATAGCAAAAGTTCTGGAGATTATGTATATAAAGTTTCACACTTCCAGATTTTCTAGAATTTTGTCAATTGAAAATAAAAGGAATTTGATTATTTGAAAAAACCATTCAAATGTGTAAATTTCTTTAATAATTGCTCTAAAGCCCACATAACAATATACTTCAAAACTTTTCTATATTATAATCCAAGATCTTCCAATTCTCTGGTATAATTTTTATTGCATAATTTTGGCTACTTTTTCATTAAAAACAATATTTTACAAACTGCCATTTTTTTTGAAACACACTGTATATAATAGCATTGACCTAAACATACAAATAGTTGCATAAAGTGCTTACTGCAAAAACATACAAAGTGAATATAAAATTGTAAAATTATGTATATAGGGATAAGTGTATATGAAAAGTATTAATAAAAGTGATAAATTTAATGGTTCTAATGAAAAAGCAATTGATTTTTTAGAAAAAGGACGTGATTGTGGTTGCTTTTCCAGAATTCCCAAGGAAGGATTTGCAGAATTAAGAGAGTCCTTTCAAGCTCTTTCTAAATCAGAACAGGACATATTTTTAATAGCCCAACTTAAAGCCATGGATGGTGGATTAACAAGCACTAGCAGGCGTCTTAAAAAGAAAACCAGGTCTAATAAAAGAACTTTCTACCATTGGGATCACAATACATCTCTTTGTCAAGAAACTTACCTCAATATGTTGGGAATTGGCAGAACTTATTTTGAAAATATTAGGAATCATCTGATAAACAATGGTCTTCTGCCAAGAACTCATGGTAATATTAAAAGGATGCCTCAATGGAAAACCAAAATGATGATTGATAAGAATGTTGCTGAAGTAGTAAAGAATTTTCTAGAAAATTATGCAGAAGTCTATGGATTACCAAGTCCAGGAAGAAGTATCAATAGAATAACCCAATCAGTTGTCTTTTTACCAGCTGAAATGGGTTATAAATCAGTCCACAGAGATTTTCTGACTGGTCTGGAAGAAAACAGCAAATTGAAATCTTTAAAATATGATTTATTCAGAAAATTATGACATCAATTGACACCAGAAATTCAAATTATGAGTCCAAGGACTGACTTGTGTGATACTTGTCAGCATTTTAAAGATGATTTACACTATAATGCTTGCCAAGAGGAAGAAGCTAAAGATCATAAAGTTGTTTTTATAAGTTTTGTAATGTAATAATACCTAGTACTAGTTAATTACTAATTGGCAAAAACAATGTATTCAAATTTAATTTCAACAAAGTATATACAATATAAATATTTTATTACCAAATATATAAATTTTAGATTTATTAGTAGTGATTTTATTAAAGACAATGGGAATAGTATTAAAGATTATCAATTATTGGTAAAGAATGTTGGGAGAATGAAAATGAATAATTGGAAAGACATGAACCTTTACAGAAATAATGATAAAATAGGTGATTTATTAAACAAACATGTGGGATTTTTAAATTATAAAATTATATAAATTTTAGATTAAAACTTAATTAAATAATAAATATTATCTCTAGTATAAACAAATAATCTATATAATGTCTATAGTAAATAATAAGAAGTTTTCTATCTCTATATATTTTATCTCCCCAATCAATCAATCAATCACAGTCAATCAATAACCTTCAGTGTCTAACAACATGTTATTAAGAATAATATCACTACCAAGATAAATATTATAAATAAAATTACTAACACTATTACTACCAAATCCATTATTATTATTATTATTATTATTATCATTATCATTATTATTATTATTATTATTATTATTATTATTATTATTATTATTATTATTATTATTATTAATGCTAATGATACTATTATTACTATCAGTAGATGTAGAATTAGCATTAATAATGGTTGAAGATGAGGGAGACAAGACAGTAGCTTTCCTAACCACTTGAAACACTTCATAATCTTCAATTCTAGCATACCCATTATCAATTGGCATAATGTTTGGATGATAGCTTTTATGTTTAAATTTGATAATATTGTTTTCCATTAGTAAATCAAATTTACCAAATGAAGGTCCAATTGATCTCCAATAATTTAAAGCATACTTGTGATCTGACTCAACTATTCTTGCTATTTTACCACCATTATTATTCCAATTGTTATTATCATTTTCATTGCCATTACTGAAAATTCCATTGCCATTACTGTCATCAAGGAAATTTTTACTTAGCCCACCACCACTTTGTATGAAACTAAAGATAAAAGAATCGGTATTATAATTGAACCTTGGCCATAAATGAGATGTCCATATATTTGGATTATAACCTCCAACAAAATATTCAGAATCTTGTAATTTTACAAGTGTTATTGTCCCAACAACATTATCACAATGTTTATGAAATGTTGATGATGAAAACCCATCTCTACTACCTCTTATCAATAATTTAAATTCATATGGTATCTGATTAATTGGATATGAATAATCAACATTATTATTAGTGGTGGTGGTGGTAGCACTACTAGTGGTAGCAATATTATTAGTGTTATGATTATCTACACCACCATTATTATTACTTGTTAAATCCATTTTATCTATCCATGAGGCTATAGTTATTGCATGGTGTACACTCATAATTGTTGAAATTATTGCTCCACGATATGGCAAAATTGTAAGATTTTTTGGTCGATAAATTGTCAATGATGATGTGAATTCCTTTGTTGTTAAAGGAGAACTATTGGTGACTGCATTATTGGAGGTGATGGGCAAATGAAATTTCTCCATTGTGTCATAGAATTCACCCAATGATTTTTTGAAAGGCTTAACTCTTGTTAGAAAGTAATT